GTTGACCCATATTCCGAAGCGGACAAAAAAAAAGGGTGCGTTCGACTCGCCGGTGTTTGTTTCCAGGCAAATACCTGCGAGACTAGAGTCTGACCGTCCTTCCACGCTCCATCCTTTTCTACTCTCTTCTCTCTCTCTCTAAAAACCCACTTTTCCGGAGTTTGGACGTAACATATGATTATGACAATATCTACCTGATTGATGGGGAAATCATAGGAGTTCCTCGGCTAACTGGAAATTGCACTGGTGGATATAATTTGGCAATTTGTGGCTGTAAACCACAATTATACAACTCTCCAATTCCTTGTAAAAATATATCAATGTTTTGTTCGGCGCGTCGAGTTAATACAAGGTTCGTTATGTTTGGATGTAGGGATTCTCTCAAAACGTGCTGCAGAATATCGTCTGGTGCGATTTCGATGACCACAGCATTATTTGGAATTAGATCTATTGTTTGTTGAAATAAAACAGTGTTTAATATACTTCGAATATGATAGTCCGCTGATGATAACTTTGATGCTGACGTGAACCATTCGGTGCGAGGTACAGAAGTACTGATCCATTTTGAACTTCGTTTTTTCGGCTGTGGTATTATTTTGTTCAAATTAAACAGAAGCTGATTTTCCACCGGTGCGAGGTAAGAACTGTGATACGGTACATTGCAATAAATCTCCTTCACGTAAATATTACTGACCTGATTATATAAAATTGTATGTAGCAAATTGTAGCTTCAATTTTATATTTCAATGTTTTAAAAACTATTAAATAATTTTCTTAATTTTCTTATGAAATATGAGAGCTATTTTTAATTTTACCTGTAACTTTTTCATTAGTTCTTGTACAAATTCCAGTGGTCCGCACACCACGCTGCTGTTCTTGCTGTTGTGACATATTATGTCAATATTCTCTGGACATATATTTTTAAGATACTCGTAATTGGTATTGACAACCGCCATCGAACTATGAATTATTTTTCCTTCGATACATGCTATACCGATAAAATATGCTGATAAAATAGTTTGTTCAATCGTAAGGCATTCATCTGCGTATGCACAAACAAGTTCACCGGCTGAGTGACCAATTATGTAATCGGCAGTAATTCCTAAGGATGTTAGGAGATCTACTAAACCAATCTGTAAATATATACAAATAATTTTATGCTGAACACTTTATATTAAAAAAATTTTTTATTAATTTAATAACAAAATGTGGTGAAATAAATCTGGTAGAATGCTAGTTCTATAAATGTGATCAAATAACAAAATTAAGAAATATATTCTTATCATATGTGTTCTACTTATATAGGGTTGGCCATATTCGACGGAAAGATGTTGTTTTGTTAATCATGGGAAAAAACGAGAAAAAATGAGAAAATACACGCGTGGCGTGTACTGTTCCATGGTGGCACAAATTTCCTTCGACTGACGCTTCAAACGCGCTACGTCGTTACTCGATCTATTATATTATAACATCTCTGTCAAAAGTTACAGTGTTGCCACATCTTTCCGTCGAATATGCATCTTTCCGTCGAATATGGCCAACCCGTATATAAAATATTATTGATACTTATATGTATTTATGAAAACTTATAAATTCTTTACCTGAATAGCAATAATTCCAAGAAAAGCGTTTAACGCATTTTTGCATATTTCTTCTTCTTTTTTTGTCAAAATGTCTATGACACTTACACCATACGGTTTTAAAATATTATCACATTTTCTTATCGTTTTTTTAAAGACGTGAAGCTTTAATAAGTTTTGGCCTGATAAGATTTTTATAAATTATACTATTTTGTCATTTAAATTAGTAGATATGTGTACATTACACTGACAAGAAAAAAAAAATTTTTTTTAATCGGTCTCTCAGCTCAAAAGCTTTTATTTTATAAAAGCCAAAAAAAACACTCCTAAATTTTTATCAAAAAATATTAAGAGGTCGCTAATGAATCCTTTTTAAATTAAAGTTTCGATTTTTCTTAATATATTTTTGATTTAATGCAAAAAAGGCTTAATCCAGATTTTAAATGTGGTATTGTATGTTTCTTTGGTCGCTGAACTGCAATAATTCATTTAACCTTATGATATATACCTTAAAAAATACAGCCCGATTAATGTGAAAAAAATGACCAAATTTCGAGTTCAAAGTCGATTTTAGCAAGATTCCAAGCGTTCAAATGGATCGTTACTTCCCACAAATTGTAGGTCCGTTCATCTAGAACAAGATCCAAATAGTTTTCCCGTAATCTTCTGCAGAGTCTTTAAAAGTTAATTGAATGATAAAACGTTTTTAGGATAGAAAATTTTTTTGCGAGTTTTAAGGTATATCGTTTTGTGGTTTGGACATCCTCAAATCAAATGCTTCAATTTGATGATAAAAAAGCTCTTTAGAAAATGAAATGATATATAGTAATGCAAAAAAAAAATGATTTACTTAATTGAAACAATTAATTGGACAATTAAGGAGCATATTGCCACAATTCAAGATGTTTTAAGAGTTAAAATAATGTATTTTTCAAATTAATATACGTTACAACATAAAATTTGTAGACATTTTGGTCAGGATTTGATCATCATCAATACAATAGCGCGTCGATGTTACAATTAACTATGATTGTCTTCTACTTTGTAGGGGAAGGGAGGGGGTGGGAAGTGAGAGTTGAGGGTGAGAGTCGCTTTGCATGGAAAGTTGAAACTCATGTGGAACAGTACAATTGTAGACCTCATTTTGTCTCTGTGACAGATTTCCTGACCTCAATAGTTAATTTTAACGCTTATAATATCTCGATTCGTGGGGCAGAGTGACTTTTTTCTGCCAAATTCTTTCACTTCATGCAAAAACGCAAAGAATAAGCCTATAATTTTATTGATTTTTGAGACAGTCGGTGCTGAACTGTATAACTACCAATTTTTTTTTCCTTCTCAGTCTAGTGTACATATTGTTACTAAAATATAAAATATTGAATATATACCCATTCCTGGCCATTGAGAACCTAAGGCTGAAAATATAAACCAAACAGGTCTTTCCATGCTTGTACAATTTTGTATTTTTTTTATTGAATCTTTTTGGAAAGTATTCAGTATAATGTACCCTCTCCATGGATGACCATTTATATTGTCTGCATAGATGTCATGTAATAAACGGATATATTCTACATCTATCGGTCGATCAGCAATCTATAATGATAAATTTCTTGAAATTAAAATACGATTTATAATGTCTTTAATATTTCAAACAAATTTTTTAATGTCTACTAACATCGTTTAAAAACAATTTCACTGATTCTTCAGTGCGTCCAGATAACATTACAAGTCTAGGTAAGTCATCTTTCGGTGCTCCATTATTAACTTTCTGTTTACCATTCCACTTTAATAACATATGAGCATTGGATCCCCCAAAACCGAAATTATTAATTCCTATGTAACCATTTTGAAGTGACATTGGTTCTTGCACGACACGAACAGTTCCATTTATCAAAGCATCTATATCTTTTCTTGGTGATGAATAATTGATATTTGGTGGAACATGGCCAGTTTCGAATGCTATTATTACCTTAAATGATTATAATAATAGTTTTGAAGTGTAATTTTGAATTCATTTGTAAAATATATATATCGAGCAATCATATATTATATATATATATATATATATGGGCTGTTTGATAAAACATCTCTTTTTTGAAAAGAGACAATGTTTAAAAAATAAGGCAGATTTTGATAAAGAGATAAGAAAAGAAAGAATCGCAAAGAACCCTTTACAAACAATTTCCTTATGAAATTTGAATTTCGGTCGAATTGCCTGAAAATTTGGTATGTTGTAGATCTATTGTCCCCTAAAAAGTCTCCACGGGCGCGATTCTCTGTAATGAACCGTTTGACCTTTACGAGGCATCATTTTTCAAAAGGTTAATACTACAATTTCTTATTTTCAATGAGTACGGTGCACTCCTACGTCATTATTTGCTTCTTTTATTTATATTTTTAAGTAAAAAAATTAGGATAATATTGACTTAATTGTTTCTCACAAGAAAGCTATAAAGCTATCGAAATCAATAACTTGATTTTTGACATTTAAATCAACACAGTGTTGCTATGAATCAGTTGGTGGATAGAAAACAGGTGCTTATTTAAAAAATTATTCATTTTGCATACATATTTTTTTAAAGAGTCTATGTGTTTTCTTTACACCAACTGATTCATCTCATTATTCTGTTCATGAAAGTATTAAGGTACGATTATCAAAAAATTAATAGTTTACGAGTTATTTAACATTTTACGTCATCATGTGCTATAATAAGATGTAAAATATCTCGTCAATTATTGGTTTTTTGATATCACTACTATACTTATACTTTAATACTGATATACTTTAAATACTTTTATATGCAGAATAATTAGAGGAATCATATTGTGTAAAAAAATCACGTAATTTGGTTTAAAAAAGTGTACGTAACCTTCATATCTTTTTTGACCCCTCCATCTAGAAAAAAATAACATGACCAAAATACGTCCCTCTCAAAACCCTTCTACTTTTATTTAAAACATTTTTTATCATTAAAAATAAGCAAGATATTTCAGATGATCGATTTAAGTGGATCATCCTTATATTCATGCATACAGGATGTTTGGAAAGTAATGATAAATCTTTCGTATATGGGCAGAATGGATTAAATTGAAAAGAAAAATCCTGTATCATTTTATAATTTTCGCAATAGTTAACGAGATATTAATTTCTAAAGATTGCGAATAAACGGATAAAATCGACATATAAAATAATTTGAAGATATCTTTTAATGTTCTTTGTGAAATATCTTAAAAATCTCTTACAGATATTTTAAAGTTATCTTATACATTGATTTTAGACATTTTACTTAGTGGATAATTGAAAAAAATATCGTGAAAATTGCAAAATGGTAGGTAGAGGACTTTACGATTCAGTTTTTTTTAATTAAAAATAGCATTATATGAGTTATTTTAGATATACCCTGTATATATTGCAAGACTTTTCGACTTGGTTTAATCCATTCTATCTGCATATGAACGTTGTGTCAATAATTATCAGACACCCTGTACGTGTGCGTGTCTGCATAAAATAAAATAAAAGTAAAATTTATAATAATAAATAAAAATGGAAACTACTTATTTTACCTTAGCGATCTGATTAAAACCACTCGCAGGTTCTGTGTGCCCAAGGTTGGATTTTACAGAGCCGATCATTAATGGAGTTTTTCTATTTTTACACAAAACATTATAGATAGCATTAATTTCTTGAGGATCGCCAGCTATGGTAGCGGTACCATGTGTTTCGATATAATCCAAACAAGATGGTGGTATTTTGCATTCTTCGTAAAATTCTTTTAGTAAGGCACATTGCACTTGTGATGAAGGATATGTTATTCCTTCTAGTTTGTAACCATCGCTATTTAATTTAATATGCGGATATATGGCATAAATCCTCTTAGCATTTTTCGCTTTTTGAAGGTATACCACTGCGATCGTTTCGCTACGCGAATAACCATTAGCAGCGCTATCAAATGGCCTACAATAACCGTCGGATGACAAAACACCTGAAGATACAAAATACTGCATGCATTTTTAATATACAATGAATTAATTTATGTTTACTTAAAAGTTATCAGTTTGATCTATGATAAAATAATATTCCATTTTGACGAATCCTTGTCTAACTGCCCCTCCCCCCACCACGCCGAAATAAAAAACGTATAACTCAGAATTAGAAGTTATTTATGAGCTTTCCTCGCAAAAAAATTTTCGAGCTCGTTCCAGTTAGCAGGAATCTTAATTTACAGGTGTGAGGGGGTTAAGTGAACGTTCATTCAGCTTTCCTCTCCACACCTTAAAATTAACAATAGGAAATCGCTCATAGTTTCAGAATTAGGAGCTCTCTATGAGCTCTTAAACGAGTGTCCTTTGATTTTTGAGCCGCATCCTTAAAACAATCCCAAAACTAATCTATACTCAAGAGGTATGTTAAGTAATTGAAAATAGTACTACGTCTATAATTTCCTTAATGAATATGGTTTTCATATAAATCTGATACAAAAATATATAGTCCTTAATTTTTTTGAGCCGCACTCCTTAGGTGGAAAACCACGTCTTGCCCTCTTCATGGAAGAAAAACCTATGTGGAATGGGAAAATAAACCATTTTATGACGGCATATTATCCCCTGATTTAGGAGTTCGCGAAATACCCATAAACTAATTTTTGAGCTGTAATCCCTTAGCAGGAAAACCACCCCCCCCCCCTTTTCAAGTAGGAGAGAGTTATGTTACAGAATGGAAAAATAAATAATTTTATGATGGGAAAATATCTGTTGAATTTGGAGCTCACGAAATACGCATGAATCGATTTTTGAGCTTCAAACTGTTAACAGGAAAACTATCTTCTGCTCTTTTCACTCTAAGAAAAACTATGTTATCGAAATCGAAAAATAAATTATTTTGTGACAAGAAATTGTAAAGTTTTCCTTATTAAAAAAAAAGATTCTGGTAAAATGCTGCTGTTCTGAATGGTGAGTTCTGGCTTCCTCGAACATTCGTCCACGGAAGAACACCCGAGGAGATTTTGGTGGGCAAGCCCCACACAAAGGGGGGGGGGGCGTGCATTTCCTCCCGTCAACAAAAAGGAGTTGCAAAAATTAAGAATTATATATTTTTGTATCAGATTTATGCCAAATCCATATTTAGTAATAAAGTTTTAGACGTAGCACTATTTTCAATGACTTATTTCTAGAGTTTAAACTTGTTTTGGGGTTGTTTTAAGGATAAGAAATGGAGCTCAAAAATAAAAAAAATACTTATTTAAGAGCACATAAAAAGCTTCTAATTCTGAGCTATGTTTTTTATTTCGGCGTTATGAGGGGTCAGCTGGACAAGAGTTTTTGACAAATATTTATCAAAAACGTTTTGTCAAAATTACACAGCTGGTTGTAGTTTTCTACTTTATGTGGATAAGTATTAAATTTCATGCATAGCGTATTATTAGACTAATAAGTTTTAATAAAAATATAAAGTTAATATTTTATAACAGAAATACCAAGCCGAGCGAATTGTAGATTTATAAGAGGAAGAAAACATAATTGTGCAGTTCCAACTATTGCGTCTTCGCATTTGCCTGACATGATACAATCATAACCAATGGCCATAGCATAAAGACTAGAGCTGCATGCTGAATCGACGATATAAGATGGCCCTTTCAGATCGAAATAGTGTGAAATCATATTTGCCATTATAGATTTGTGAGATCCGAGAATATTCTGTCCCTTTAATTAATTGCAGAAAATTTACTATTGCAATTCTCTCAAATAAACAATTAAATTAGTAATCTCTTTATATTATTTTTATGAATGATATATACACATAGGTATATGCGCGCGCTTTTGTGTGTGTGTGTGTGTGTGTGTGTGTGTGTGTGTGTGTGAGAGAGAGAGAATAACTTTTCTTACTTGAATATCTTCTAGCAATGTTTTTTGTCCTTCAACAAGAGCTGATCCTATAATTACAGCAGTATTTTTGCCTTGTAATTGCTTTGGATTGATCCCAGCATCGATAATTGCTTCATAACTATGTTCCAGTAACAGTCTTGTTTCTGGTATGAATGTGTGTGCTTGCTCAAAAGGTATTTCAAAAAAATCCGCATCAAATTTTTCTATATTATTGACAATTCCCATACGTTTTGAGAATTCTGCATGCTCCACAGCTAAATGTATTCAAATATTATATATAATATTCCGCGTTTATCTTTTTATATAAAATTTCAATTTGAAGTAACTTCATTGATAAATAAATGTAATTACATTTACATTGTAATTACATTTAGAACAGATGATATATTCTATCTCAATCAGATAAATGTAAAAGTATAATATATAAACATAATTATGAATTAATTACCCATTTTCCATCGGTTATGGTCTGCTTTTACAAGGTCAATTTTATTGAATAAATTTTCTCGTAATTGATCCATGTTATCTGAATGAGGAAATCTACCAGCAATACCAGAAATAACGATCGCCTCACCGGAATCAATATCGTTCCATGATTTATTTGTTTCTTTATCATCCATTATTATTCTTTTAAGTAATCTAGAAAAATGCTGTGAATATTTTATGCACGATTGAGTATAATAAGTTAATTTTTTCTTTTGGCTAAGTTAAGTTAAAATTAATGACCTGTGAAATTAATTTATTTCTATTGAAAATGTGTACACAAACAAAAAACTAACTTATTTAAAGTTGCGTTATGATCAAATTAACTGAAGTTAAAGTAAATTTTAATTTTAAAAGCATCATTTATACTCGTATTAAAATTAAATGAAATTTTTTTGGAATTAGGTTATCCTGAACAAGAAGCAATAGCAGTAAGATTTATTAAATATATAAATTTCAATATAAATCTTTTATTTGTAAAACAAATTTATAAAACATATTAAGAATTTTATGCAGGACCATATATATGAATACATCAAATATGAAAGAAAGCCAAGAACGGTCACATTTTTGGATGTTACAAATAATACATTATATATTCTTTTTATTAAATCAATTTTATTAAATCGATCAAGCAAAAATGATTGTGTTGAATCCGAATGTTATCGGCTCGCAATTATGTCTGGAATAAATTAATTTAATAAAAAGAATATATAATGTAATTATTTGTAACATCCAAATTGCAATTTGCTGATAATGTTAGATAATAGAAATTCTATGTATAATTTGCTGCCTTTCTACAATTGAAAATTAATAACAGACTGCTGAAAATCTATCTCCGCAGCTGTGCATCAGGGATAGCTCTATTAATAAGCGACGTACATCATATACACCACTAACATCACTGACATCATTTATACCATTGACACCATTAACACTGACAATACCGAAAATTACTTTTATTTATCCGCGAACTATCACTCGGTACGTAATATCGCTGGTTTACGAATAATTATAACAAAACCGCAATATATTTTATTCTTATTTTCAAAGATGTCTTAAAAAAATATGTACAAAAGACATCTTTTTTCAAAAAGATGATTTTATAAGAGATGACTAAAAGTCGTCTTCAAGACGTTTATTAGACAAGTCTTAAAGACGTTTAAAAGATATTCGTAAAAAGAATGTCTTTCAAACTTGCCTAAAAGTCATCTAAAAGACATCTTTTAGACAAGTCTTAAAGATGTCTCTTTTTTTAAGACTTTTTTCAGATTATCATACATGTTTACTGGGGATAGTGATTATTAGTCGTTATTAGAGAAATTAATAATTATTATATAAAAGTATATTTATTGTACATTATTTAAATAAAATTTGAATTTGTAAAACAACTTTCTTTTTCTATTTTTGAATCTTAAGGAAAATGCAAGTAACTTTGTATTAGCAGGACATTACGTTCATTACAATCACTGAACTTTTTCTAATTGTTTAAAATTTTATAAGACATACA